AGTCTCTACCTTCGCACCCAGTTTCCTCCTCCTCCTCCCCCTCCTCCTCCTGCCGAACCAAGGACTGAATCAAGAGCAGGTCCGAGACCAAATTCTTCTGGTCTCTTCGAGCAACGCGCCTTCCCCTGAACACCTTACCAACTTCTTGCAGGGTAAGGTCGCTGGCAGGAGCTGTCACCTTCGAGCTGTACGACCCAACTTCCCGGCGTATTGTTACCCCACTGAGGAGGCTATGCCCACTCCACCGCTGCAGATCCTCAATTCTTGCCTTCGTGAGCACTGAGGACTTATCCCAGGCCTGTAGGTGTTCCAAACTTTGACATTTCCCATAACCTAGGGTTGGGGCTTTAACCAGGTGTCACCTTCTGAAGCTTGTCTGGGCAGGGACGCTACGTCGTAAACTGTGGTTACTTCCAAAGAAAACAGGAGCCGGGGTAGCGACTGGCTACGGCCTGGACGACTCAAGGGTCGGAGATCGAGTTCCCGTAGGGTCAAGAATTTTTTCTCCAAATTGTCCAGACCGGCTCTGGGGCCCACCCAACCTCCTATCCAATGGATACCGGGAGTAAAGCGGCTAGTGCCGAGGTGAAGAAAATGTGGATATGTACATCCACTCCCTCATACGCCCTCATGGCACTGTGTTTAAATTCGTTGAACACAGGGCAACTTTGCCTTTTACCAAAGAAAGGCCTCAGTGGCTCCCTTCACCTTACTGCCATTGTAACAAAAGCAATATTACTCTTCAACCTACGTCTTCTAAGTGGCCTCTTCACCTAAGATATCACAATCAAAATTTTGTAAGTATTTCTCATTTCCCCCATCTCCTGGACATATGTTCCTTCATAATTTGGTTCTTCTAACAATATTATCATTACAAAACTTTCTGCAGTCATTATTTCACATCTCTCAGGCCAAATTGTCCTCACCAACATCTTGTCTTCAACTCCCCGAAGTGAGAGAACAGGTTTCAGACTTACAGACGACAGAGCGTATTACAATGTGATATCACAAAGTCAATAGATAGTCCGTCGAGTGTAACAATGTTTTTAGATCACTTCTTTATCACATTTGCCTTACATGTTTCGGTTTAATAAAACCATCATCAGAGGCACATATTACAAACACATGAAAACACTGGCGTTGTTTAAATGTACACAGTATATATGCTGCGTGGACGCTGCTACAATTGTCGATGTGTAAAAGCACAACACTTGCTAGGAATATTGAATGCACGTTCAACTCTCGCATTCCATCCGAAATTGCCCTCAAATTAAACCGTCAATGTTAAAATATTTAAAAGTTTAAAACATTTGAAGTAAAATGTTAGGCTCCTCCTTGTTAATTCATCCCGATGATGGGAGATGTCAGATTGAGGTTGTATAGGCTTATGGTCAGATGTTTCCTATGCGTTGTGTGTTGTGTACTGTGTACACTGTATACATTTGTATACTGTGTACATTTAAACAACGCCAGTGTTTTCATGTGTTTGTAATATGTGCCTCTGATGATGGTTTTATTAAACCGAAACATGTAAGGCAAATGTGATAAAGAAGTGATCTAAAAACATTGTTACACTCGACGGACTATCTATTGACTTTGTGATTGATAGTGTAACGGACCAAAAATGAAGCAATTCAAAACAATGTGATATATTTTACTTTATTAAAAAATTAATTTCTTTCCCTCGACACATATTTTAAAAGTATTGGAATAAATACCCTTCCAACTATATATGTAGTATATTTATTTATTTCAGCAATATTTACATGCTAAAATAAATAGAAGAATCATTTCCCTGACCGTTATATGGGAAGTAAAGATTCAAACATTTACCAATTGAGTTTCATCATCGTAAAGCAATGTAATTTTATTTATTACAGTTCGACGACGCTTCAGTGGGTTTCTTCCATGACATGATGTCAGGTCCGCGTCTGAAACAACTACGTACCAGATACATGGGCCATTTAGCGTTATTATTAGCTGTGGTTTCAGCTCGTCCATCTGACCCAACGCTTTACACTGACCGACACACATTAAATTATAACATGACGCTTAATTCCGACATAAAAATGCGGAAATAAGAATACAAAAGGGCAACATAGAGAAAGCATAATCCAGTCCTGGGCCCCTTAAGCGCTGGGATCATAGATTCAACTCGAGCTTGGGGCATAACTACGAACTTCTCCATGCTTTTGTTTTGTACTGTGGTATCAGAGTGCCTGCAGTAATCTGATATTCCATCCAAGGACATTTACAATTATTTTGTAAAACTCTACAACAGAAAAGGCTAACAGTAGAATTGAAAATGTAGCGCAAATAAAATACGAGTATATACAAAAATGCGGACTCAATTAAAAGTCAATTTGCCGTACCAGACTATGTTGCTACTCACATGAATAGACGTTACAATAGTTCCAAGATTTAAACGGATATGACGAACATTACAAAGGCAGCATAAGTAGAAAATTTTTATATTTAAATATGAAGTTTCTAAGAACGAGAAAACAGGACTTACTTCACAGGATTATAATAGTTCCTGTGACAGAAACACTGTTCATGGAACAGAGTCCTGAGAGCAAAACACTTGAATAATAAAGATGAAATGAAACATCAGTCATGCTGATCTTGTAGCTCAAAGTAAGTTAGGGTTTTCCACTGAGGCTCAAGGTCAGTCTGTGGCACCACAATACGAGACACTTTCTTTGGAACTAACATGTATCCATTGTATTAGTGACCACGATACTGGCGACTTTTCTTGCCAAATGTTCACATTGAGCTTCACTTCACTTCAGTCCAGCCACTTGCTCTCTTGGGTAGTTAAATAAAATACTCATGGAGTAATTAACGACGTACATAATCCTTTATTACCTCCACTGTCACGTACGACATGTTTTTAAAAGTCTTCTTGTCTGTATATGGATCTGTCTGCATTGCTCTCTCTTCACAATTCAAGCTAACAATTCGTAGCATCACGCGGAGTCAAATTACTCTGAAATTACCAGTCGCTACTGGAGACTGGTGGGGTGGCCGGAGTGTGAACCTGACCATTAACTCCCGTCTAAGGCCGCGCCATAGCTCAAGCGGTTAGTCGCTGGCTTCCCGCCGCGGCCGCCTGGGTCTGGTCAAGTGGGATTTGTGGTGGACAAAGTGACGCTGGTGCAGGTTTTCTCCAAGTCTTCGGTTTCCCTTGCCAATCTTCATTCCACCAGTTGCTCCACGATCACCCTCACCTATCATCCGGGGCTGGTACAATAGGCCAGAAGTGGCCGCAGTACAAGGGACTCAGAACTCTGTCAGTCGCTGCCTTGGTTATGGTTATTCTTAGAATCTCGTTATATAGCCGTGGCACGGACCACAGAGAAAACATAGTTCTACTGCTGAAACGTGTTTACCGAACCATTGCACAGCAACGGTCGCGGCGCGGATCTCATAGAAAACAATCTCTCTATTGTTGAGATCTGTTTACCGAGCCGTTGCTTATCCACGGTCCTCCATCCACGTTACAATACCTTCAATTCATTCTTTCAGAGAAAGAGTTTTATAGGTTATGAAATAGGGTCTTTCTTGTATTTACCAAGTTGCTTGGATATTCACTTATTTTGCCTGACCTGTACAGAAAACATGGTCAAACCCGCTAAAAATGTAACTAATCAAATTCTAAGGATAAAGAAAACGTAACAAGCAAAGGGCTTGTTCTCTGCAAAAGAAGACACAATAAGAAATGTATTCACTTACCTGGTAATTTCCTCCAGTAGCTTGCAGGGGTCAGCTGCGTAAAATTTTACTCCAAAATACAAAGTGAACGGGTCGGTGCCTGAAAGTAAGAGAAAACATTAGATAAACTCACGATGCGTACAATGACAAGTCGTGATTCGCCAATCATAAATTCATGCCACTGCGAGGAGCAACAACTCCCTTATTTCTAACCTGACACGCGGAAATAGTCACCGAAAGAACTTCGAACCTTGTACAGTCAACTTGTTTGAGTCCAGACAAGTGCCGGGTCAGAAGTGAAAGCCCCAACCTATGACACACAGGTCGCGACACAATGCAGGCTGCTAGGGCCTTCTCGCACTGATCCCGAGATAGTGGCTGGCACCAGTCTTACAAGGTGTCTTATCTATAAACATTTGCAGCCACCAATTCAAAGTTTCACCAAGCTACCTTTCCTTACCACAAGATACACCATCTATTTCTAGGTCTTCATATATGTTTTCCTCTGTTGGCATGTATGTGCGTAATTTAGGGATCACACCTTCTCGTATTCTGTCTGCATATTCTCTCATATTTAACTGATAATATTTTATATCAACTATGCTTGCAGTTCTGTAATCTGTCCTTTATTTCTTTATTGCTAGTGGGGTGGGACTAAGTCCCTTGTACTGTGGCCACTTCTGGCCTATTGTACCAGCCCCAGATGATAGGTGAGGGTGATCGTGAAGCAATTGGTGGAATNCAATCTTCATTCCACCAGTTGCTCCACGATCACCCTCACCTATCATCCGGGGCTGGTACAATAGGCCAGAAGTGGCCGCAGTACAAGGGACTCAGAACTCTGTCAGTCGCTGCCTTGGTTATGGTTATTCTTAGAATCTCGTTATATAGCCGTGGCACGGACCACAGAGAAAACATAGTTCTACTGCTGAAACGTGTTTACCGAACCATTGCACAGCAACGGTCGCGGCGCGGATCTCATAGAAAACAATCTCTCTATTGTTGAGATCTGTTTACCGAGCCGTTGCTTATCCACGGTCCTCCATCCACGTTACAATACCTTCAATTCATTCTTTCAGAGAAAGAGTTTTATAGGTTATGAAATAGGGTCTTTCTTGTATTTACCAAGTTGCTTGGATATTCACTTATTTTGCCTGACCTGTACAGAAAACATGGTCAAACCCGCTAAAAATGTAACTAATCAAATTCTAAGGATAAAGAAAACGTAACAAGCAAAGGGCTTGTTCTCTGCAAAAGAAGACACAATAAGAAATGTATTCACTTACCTGGTAATTTCCTCCAGTAGCTTGCAGGGGTCAGCTGCGTAAAATTTTACTCCAAAATACAAAGTGAACGGGTCGGTGCCTGAAAGTAAGAGAAAACATTAGATAAACTCACGATGCGTACAATGACAAGTCGTGATTCGCCAATCATAAATTCATGCCACTGCGAGGAGCAACAACTCCCTTATTTCTAACCTGACACGCGGAAATAGTCACCGAAAGAACTTCGAACCTTGTACAGTCAACTTGTTTGAGTCCAGACAAGTGCCGGGTCAGAAGTGAAAGCCCCAACCTATGACACACAGGTCGCGACACAATGCAGGCTGCTAGGGCCTTCTCGCACTGATCCCGAGATAGTGGCTGGCACCAGTCTTACAAGGTGTCTTATCTATAAACATTTGCAGCCACCAATTCAAAGTTTCACCAAGCTACCTTTCCTTACCACAAGATACACCATCTATTTCTAGGTCTTCATATATGTTTTCCTCTGTTGGCATGTATGTGCGTAATTTAGGGATCACACCTTCTCGTATTCTGTCTGCATATTCTCTCATATTTAACTGATAATATTTTATATCAACTATGCTTGCAGTTCTGTAATCTGTCCTTTATTTCTTTATTGCTAGTGGGGTGGGACTAAGTCCCTTGTACTGTGGCCACTTCTGGCCTATTGTACCAGCCCCAGATGATAGGTGAGGGTGATCGTGAAGCAATTGGTGGAATGAAGATTGGCACGGGAAACAGAAGTACTCGGAGAAAACCTGCTCCAGCGCCACTTTGTCCACCACAAATCCCACTTGACCAGACCCGGGATCGAACCCTGGCCGCCGCGGTGGGAAGGCAGCGACTAACCGCTTGAGCTATGGCGCGGCCCAATCTGTCCTTTAGGCGATCCAATAGATGTGAGTGCTGCTACACTCTGACCTGCTCCACATTACGCCAACGCGATGAGGAGAGAACTGTACGCTCAACGCTTCCATACAAATATTCCTCCACATTTTTATTCCCTGGGGAGGAAGTACAACATTTTGAGTGCTCCATGAACTGTAGCTCATGTTGATGCATGATTCTTTATTCAATACGTGCAGGGCACTTCACAGTAGGCACATAACCTCTGCCAATAAATCATCAAACTCTGCTTTCATCCTTCGCCTACCCTGACTAATCTCAAATGGGGCTAAGCTTCCAAACAAAATTACTGAGTGCCAGGATTTCAACCATGTTCAGAGACGATATACCAAACTTCATGCTAAAAACAACAGGATGCGTTTTGAAAGGGGTTTATGCGATACACTGTTTTAATGGCGCGAGCAGAATATAATTACAAAGTATATATTTGTTGACTGAAGGAAATAAGTGCTGATCACAGTGGCAGCACGGTCTAAGGCATGAACTTTCTTCACTCGCGCTAACACGGCTATCATGGATTCGAATCCCACTCCAGGCACGGATGTCTGTGTGCATTTACTCTGTTTGTGCTCTTCTGTGTGCAGGTAGCGGCCTTGCGATGGGCTGATACTGCGTCCTACAAGTCCCACCGACTGTGTAAAGGGTTGAAAAATTGGAATGCGGCCAAGGCCCAACAAAGGGCTCTAGGTGAGTACACAGACAGATAGAAGGAACGAAGTTTTTCATTAGTCGCATAGCTACCGGGGCTTTTAAACTGGGTTGTAACGTTGAATCAGTTGGTGAAATTATGTAGTGTAGAATGCAATGTGGTAGACTGAAGGTAAAATTAAGTGGTAATTCATGAAGGATACTGAAGTTCGCAGCTTATTGCAAGATGCTATGCCACAATTTAATGAGACAAATGAAAGTCAAACGCCTTAATGAGGCCGCCTCCTTGAGAACGGCTACCCACAGCACCAAGGATAAACCAACACACGAATAAAATATACACCAGACCCACAACACGTCTATACTACAAAATTATCGCGGTAGATTTTAAAAATAATTTTAAAATATTTTAAAAATATTTTACCCCTTTAAAATGCAAAGTGTAAGAACGTGACAATGGAGCAGCAGTTTCCTCTCCAACTTTCACAACTGATAGCCAGTTGGGCCAAAACATGTAATGTTCGAATAATAGGAAGAGGGGAATTCCTTTGAAGTGTGAATTTTAAAATCTCGACGAAGTTGCACAGAGGCGGTGAGAACTGTGAGTGCTAATTTAGAATACAAGAGTAAACAGGATGCTGTACTATGTTACCATATATAAATTAAAATCACGCAGTAAACGACTGCTTTTCTGCCCTTTTCACAGGGTAGAATTGCAACTTGCGGACGAAAAGCAAAACTTATTAATTAAAGTATAAATTGACTAACGCTATTAACCATGCCTCTAACTTATTCTCTTTCGCATTACTTGTTATTCAGCCCTGGTGTTACTGCCTGTGGCGATTAACAGTGTTTTTAACATGACTATTACTGCTAATTGTCTATTAAGTAAGTAATGCTGATACTTACACCAAGTTTATGACCATTTCATTCCCGTAGGAACTCATGTGTAACAAACAGCCTTCTTTTACGACATCCAATCATTCATTTAAGTTCGATTAAGTAATATGTTTTCCTTTTATTTACGTTCTGTGATTCGTCAATTGGTTCTTTCGCGTTGACTTACATATGTGCGCTACAGACATGTCGTTTCTTGTCTGGTGCTGTCCCCAACTAGACTGCGGATCCTGTCGCTTATAAATACGGGGGTTCGATGCTTGTCAATTCAAGCCTGCTAGCTTCTGCACAGACATTTTTCGAGAAGAAATTACATATGGAGTAGTTGTTTTTTCACACGATGCCGATTTGCAACGTTTTCTATCGTACTTACATATGTTAATATTGCCCATAATCTCCCCCCCCCCAAAAAAACAATTCTGTGGCGTGATTTTTAGTACACTGTTCGTTATGCTATTCGGAAAAAAATGCTAAAATTCAGCCCTGCACGTAAATTTCACTCAAAACGAACAGTGGACGACGTGAACATAAATAGGATATAAACATCTACATTAATTTGTAGGGGCACGCGGTAGCGTAGTTGGTTAAGGCACTATGCTACAAGCTGAAAGGTCGCGGGTTCGAGTCCTGATGAGGTGGAATTTTTTCAATTGACCTAATCCTTCCAGCCGCAATATGGCCCTGGGGTTGTCCCAGCCTCTAACAGAAATGAGTACTAGGAATCTTCCTGGGGGGGTAAAGGGCGGCCGGCGCGTTAGGCTGCCAACCTTACCACCAAATCTGAACCGATTGTCTAGAAAATGTGGGAGCTTCGACGTCGCACAATCCTATGTGCCTCCGTGGCCTGTTACAGAGATAGCTTTACGTGACGCCGTGTAGCTCAGAGGAAGTTTACTGGAGGAATGTACTGCAGTCATCTTCAGGTTCTAAGCGTAAGCCAAACCACCAAGATGAGAAATTTTTGTTTATCTCCATCAGATAAACAAACCCGACTCAAGATATTCGCGGCTAATCTTATTCCCTCAAGGAAAATGCCCATGTAGGCATAATACCTTCAAATTTAGGCTACCTTGAGTATTTCTTTCAAAACCCTCCCAAGCTCACCGAAAGCGATCATTCTATATTAAAAAGCAACTGCAATTGAGAGAGTATTATTAAATGACCTACCACCCATTAAAAGCCCGCCATTTGGCGCGATCCAGTTCCCATATACCCGCTTCGCATCCTCACAATTTATGTTCCATCCGTCAAAAAACAGTGGACCCTAGGGCATATGATATTGGCTAAGCCGTAATACCGAACGTCAGTCGTTATCAACACAATGCGCAAGACATTTGGCTGACTTCACTAGGAAAAGGACGGAATGGTATGTATGGTTGTCAGCGTTTTCCAAGGGCTATTCGGTGAGCATCATCTGGTGTGCTATTAATAAAATAAGCAATAAGAAAAAATTATATACAAAAAATGCGTACATACTTAAGCTACTTTTCAACGTAGTCATCGTCGAAATTGAGGCACTTGTCATATCTGTGAACAAGTTTTTGCAATCCTGTGTCAAAGAATTCTGCCGACTGTCAGCTCAGCCACGTTTTGACACATTCCGTCAACTCATTATAGTTGAAGCGCTTTGATCACAACCAGTTCTTCAGATAGTTTAGAGTAAACAGGTGGCAGTCGCTCGGAGCGAGATCAGGGCTGTAAGATGGGTGGTCAAACAACTCCCAGTTGAAATGTTCTAGTAGTGCTCGAGTGCGAGCAGCTGTAATCGTATGACGACTCGCATTGTCATGGAGAAGCACTATACCGGATGTCAGCATTCCACGCCTTTTGTTCTGAATAGCCGTACGCAACTTTTTTAGTGTTTCGCAATACACTTCTGATGTTACTGTGGTCCCTTGTTGCATGAATTCCACCATCAGCACTTTTCTCTTGTCCCAGAAAACGGCTGCTATCAGCTTCTGGCACACAACGTTTGTCTTAACTTTCTCGGTTCGTTTGCTGATTTGTGTGCATCCATTCCTTTGACAGCACTTTGGTTTCAACATTCACAAATGAAATCCAGGTTTCATCACCTGTTACTTCAACGATGTGATTGAGAAATTCAGCGCCATCTTTGTTGCATCGCTCTAAAACGTCAAAGACGAAGCAATTCTCTGGGTGTTGTTCGCACCCGTGACCATTTTCTGAATCCATCTTATGCATAACTACACTAACTGTGATAATCTCGTAGAGAATAGTGCGTAAAATTTGTGGAAATTCTCATGAAGTTTCTAAAATTGTGAAGGGCCATCTTTCTCAAAGTTTCGGGTCAACACTTTGAATAATGTCATCTCTCACTACAGATACTCAATCTCTCCGCTCTTCATCGTGAACATTTGTTAGCACATCTTCCAACATTCTACACAACTGTCTTAGAGTTCATTCACTCAATCTTTCTTGGCCGTAAACCGCCGCGCGTAAGTGACGATCCGTCCGCAGCGCTCATGTTTTTAGAGTGAAGAAAGCGCACAACAGCTCGAGCTGGAGGGATTAACAATTGCAGGACACATCATAACTCACTCTGTAGAGACAAAAACAAACATTAGGTGACCAGTTATATGATGGTTTACAAGGCAGTGAGTCATTTGA